TCTTCAACACGACATCCGTAACAAGAAGTCGATACATCATGCACCACCGCAAATTAAAATAGTCATCAACCACATAGTAAAAATGCCACAATAATGATTTGATAAGGCAGTCCGTTCATTCTTTAAGATTAGATACAATATAATACGCATGGAATAAACTCAAAATGTTTTGTCATGTATACAGGGTGTTAGTAAGTTAGCATCATTTCTCCAACTTTTTTCGCGTTTTCGTCGGTTGTTGATGTGCTGGAGCGTCCGAGGCGTGCGTCATCTTCAACGTTACATGGACTGAGAGTTACAACTCCCAGTGGCACCAACGGCCTGATAACTTCGACAATTGCGGAACTAGCCAAACGTCACACCCATCCTCAATCCCTAAAGAGATGGGATGGAATCAAGGATACAGTCTTGCTAGTGGACACACCTCTATGCAAGATGTGAGAACAGAAAGATGAAACTGTCTGGCATGTTTTATGCGAGTGCGAGTTATCGTCAATAGGAGAGTGTGTGTTCGGCGAGTCTTGGCCTACACCTGCCGATATAAAGGAGATGTATCCCAGTGACCTGTCTACCTTCCTGGAAAGGACAGGATGGACGATGACCTAGAGAGTCAACTCCCCAAAAGGATGTACAATGGGTCACATGTGGCCTAAGTGCTGTGAGCCTACACTCACCCTCCCTACTCTACAGATACAGATACATGGCCATCTTGGAAACGCTCAATCCACTCGTTAACTCTAGTTAACATTTCACACAGTGTGTAATACGTAATTTAATTTTTTTATGAAAAAGTAAACAATGACTACAGCTGAAAATTTAATCATAGATCAGAGGCATTTGAATCCATTAGAATTTAAATTACTATGAGAGTACGACACAGAATTTGTTTAGTCAGTATTGTGACACCTGAAGATGCTATTGTATAGCGAAACAAGTGTCGCGGTTTTGTAAACTGTCGAATGGAAATCTCTCATTGAAGTGTGTATTGGAGACATTACAATATTTCCATAAATGACATAGTGTCGCCATATTGAATTCAGAAAAAATGGCTTCTACGCAGCCATTATGAATATGAATGTGTGACCATTATATCCTATCAAATGATTTGAAAAATATACAGGGTTCTATTTGAAATGTTTTACTTTGGGACATTTTCGTTTAAACTTGTATCTTTAATCGTTTTATGAGGAGTAATATTTGACCAATAAACTATACCTTCATTTCGAACTCCAAATTTCTCATCCCTTAACTCAAACACAAAGTAATGAAGTATGAAAATAGGCCTCAATAGACGATGAACTATAGAAAAATTGAGCATTATTTCTGAAACTACCTGATCATACCAGTTGTTAATATCTCAACTATATCCATCCAACAAACAAAGATGAATGCGTAATCAAACCATGATCACCACGCACATTTGCGTCTCTTGGGTAAAATAAACAAGCCTTTTTACGCTGGCCAATCAGATGAAACTGCAATCGGCTGGCGGATTGTCATAGTGGTCAGTTACGTTTTAACGCCTGTAGTGTTACCTACATATACGGCATTTTAAAGTTTGAAATTTTCAAAGTGTCAAGTACTGATACGACTGAAGAATCTGCTGATTCCTATACCCAGCAGCATATTATTTAAAAAAATCGGTCGTTCCTTTGTGCGACTCTGTACAAGTAGCTTTGTCTGGGGCATCACGTACACTATGTATGACGATGTCTTGAAGCATTTTGTTGCTTAAATGGACATATTATAAACATTGTGTATTATACCTGAACACGGCCCTGATTAAACATGATGTCTTTCACCTGCACACATAGGAAATTTAAATATAAAACGTTTCATCTATAAACAAATAAAGTTCCATCACCACCTGGAAGATATTTCTAACATATGCTGCGAGTAATAACCTTAAAGAATCTGGATGTGTTTTGACAATGAATCTTTCTACTTACCGAAATTAAACAACGAACTAAATCTGGAAGTAGTTAAGTAGTCACGTTTACTCTCATCTGTCATTTCAAACTCAATAAGGTACTATACAGGGCATTCCAATGAAAACTTGACCCCCCTGTAAGTCAGAAACGGACGTGTAATCGAAAATTTCAAAGGACACGTCAATTTTTATTTCCAGGGGGATTAATGGAGTATGGAAATAATACCCAAAACTTCACCCACCTGCGGTGAACAACTACCCCCCTATTTTTTTAATAGCATGGGGGGTTTATAAATTATTTGAAAGGTCTTTCGTCCCTCTATTACTTCTGTATTTTTTTTTAGAAATTGGTTCATTCGTTATTGAGAAATCAAATGTTGAACGTCTTGAGGAACTCAACAAAAGTAATATCAATGGCAACACAATCAACGGATAAGTGTTCAAAATGATCTCCATCTAGTTCCATACAATAATATAGTCTACTTGCGAAAGCAATCCTTACATTATTGAAGATGTCCGAAGTGAGAAATCGGCATTCCCGAACAATTCTCAAGAATGTGTACCAAATTTAATATAATTCAATACATTAAAGTTCAAGCAATCTTTGGATCATTTGGTTTGATCAATTAACTAGTTAATACCATATAAAATAATGATTAGACCTCGTAAATTATATTACGTCGCCCATGCCATACAAAGAAACTGCCGACGTTCGGTAACTATTCACTTTTTATGGCATTCAAATTGACTTCGTATACACTATAGACGAATGAAATATTTATATTGCACTTTAGCTATTCAGTGTGAATATTTCTGAAAAGTTGATAAAAAATGCAGCAATTTACATGAAAACGAAAAATTAATTTCGTTGATTATTCGACTAATAATTACAAGAAAAGTTTCCACATAAGAGTTTTATGTGTTGTTATGATAACTGTATGTCAAGCTAGAAGGGTCAATAATTGCTGATTGCAAAAAATTATTCACAGGAATAGCTAACATAGCTAATTGAGAGAAATTCATGCATGACGAAAATACTTTACAAATCTATTGTGGCTCTTTTCCTTCATGACATTAAAACAAAAACTAATAGAGAAATGAAATATATGTAATATATTATATGTATATGTAACAACACACGGTATGACAAGAAAAATGCAATTGTTTTCAGAGAAATGCGTTTCAGAGATTTTTGTGATATCTTATGAGTTTCTACTATTATTCAACAAACATTGACAACAAGAGTTTCAACATATGGATATTATTGAGAAATCTATTACGCGAAATCAACTTAGCAGAGCTACACCATATAAACAAAGGGGTGGGACAATTTGTTTTCACAATACCTAAGTGGCTTTGCTAACTTTATAGAAGAAGAATTACATTGCTCTCTTAGGAGAAAGGAATTGCTCTCCTAAGAAAGATTTTTCAATGAATTCTGTACCTTTTTTCGTTCATAAAGGTTTCAATAACATTGGAATACAGGTTTGGAGAACTGTCGATTCACTGTCAAATAAAAATGAAGTTGGAATGTCAGATAATTCTTTGTAACAAAGTTCAATCTAAAAGTATTTGTTCTGTATCCGAAAATACATAACGTAAGTGGCGATGTGAATAAACTGGTTAATACTCTGAAGCTGAGTCAAGTCAAACTATAAAAATGTCTTTGGTGTGATCAATTGAACCTTTCAAACCTGGAGTGTCGGAAATATCTGTATTGAGAGAATGGAACAGTTATTTTGGTGTAATAATATGGAAGAAAAGTACCTCTATTTCTCACTTTGGTTGGTGAAGAGGCTTACAGTGTTATCAAAGACATATATGCAGCTCAGAAATGTCCTCTTAGCACATTATTGAAGAAAAAAGCTGAGTCAACTTTCTGTTGAAGGAAAAATTATTTAATTTGAATTGGATACAGGTTCTGATAGTTCTGTTGTTTCTATGAAATTGTTCAAAAAGTTTTTTTCTACAATTAAATTAGTTAAAGACAATGTGAAACTTAAAACATTATTTGGTCAAGTGAATGATTTGGTTTTCAAAACTACCGTTGATGTCAAATGTATGAAAAATGGGTGCAGTAATCTGAAAGTATTTGTTCTGTATCCGAAAATACATAACAAATTATACCTATTTCGGTGTTGCCACACATGCTGCAAATCTTCTAATAACACAGGATACCTAAGTTTGCCACGAAAATACATACACAATAATTTCCCGAGAAATTCGTTTCAGGTTTTTTTTAATATAGAATGAATTACGACAATTATGCTTTCTTGATATTCTCTGCAAGACATTTTCATTGGACGTGTCGAAAGAGATATAGTTGAATTATAATTGCAGCAATTGGACATACGTTTCGATAAATGTTTGCCATAAAAAATACAAATATTTCAGCTATAGGCGATTTTCTCGACTCATTTTTTATGTTTCCGAAACGATAGCCAATTCAAAATTTCAGTTTTTTGATTATATAGTTTATTCATAGGCAAAATTTATGAATATGAAGAGTTAAGTATGACTAACTAGACTTTTCAAAAGTTATACCTATCACACAGTAAATTTTTGTGGTGAAACTTTGCCCTTTGTTACGTTTTAGCAGTTACTCTATTGACAGTTTATGGAAAGTTAAAAGCTCGAGCAAAAAACATCACTACTTGTTATCAAGTTATAAAAGCTACCCCTTATAAAAAGTAGGGGTGCGACTATTCTTTTTTTTTCCATTACAAGTATTCTATTTCTAGAAGTCTATACTCTGCCACTAATCTCTCATTTTTCCCCGAACCTTAAACACTTCAAACACAATCTCACACCACACTGTCTTATCCGAAGTACAAATGTAACGCAACCAGCAATCCCTCTCAACAATGCACTCGGTTCGTGAACTAAAACTAATTCACTGACTTTCAAACCAAAGATACGTTCGAAACGACTAACGAAGAGAAGTTGAATGTTGAAATTCCTCGGGTTCCTCATAAAAACCAACCGCGGTGGTAAACGCCAATAGGCACAGGCAGAACGAGCGAAGACATACGAAGCCGGAATATAGTGCGATTCGTCTGGTTGCGGAGTTTGTAGTCGATTGTCGATTCAGTCTGGTGCACGCGGGAGTAGCGTTTGACAGAAACGCATAGTTTCGGCTTCTTTATTCGGAAAGTTAAAGCAGGCCATATTCCGATTGTTGTTGTGAACGGTTTTTTTGTGACTCGGTGTTGTTCTAAAAGTGATAACGGTGAATGTGTGGCAGTTTTGGGACTTCTTGAGAAGTTGAAGTATCGAAAAGTAACCTTGATCGTGGATGCAACTGCAGTGATGCATAAAGGTGAGGTTTTGTTTGGAATGTATCATGTGTTCGTGTTGGTGTATATCGAGGATTCCCGATCGAATTTCTTAATACGGCTGTACATTGCCTGAAGACTAATGGGAAAACATGAAGTTTTTCTGCGTCTCACCCAAATGAGTAATCTTTCATGAGTAGTTAGGTAAGATTGTGGACTGCTTAGTCATTCTTCAGCGTTTTATACCTCAACGTTTGACTTGTGGCGTTTTAAGGATAATACAACAATTTGAATGAATATCAGTTCTTCTTACTCACTCACGATCGTTGAAAAGTTATCTGCTCATTTGCTTAGATTGTTACACAAGAACAAAGACGTTAGTCATATTTAACCTCTTGAATAAAAAAATATTTACTGTGTACAAAAAATACCCAGGTAGATGTGTATGAAATAATATTTCAAAACAGTGTTTCCCGAATATTTGGAAATGTTATGTCCGTCTTAAAAATATGCAAACAAACGATAAATGTCGGAATGTCAAGAATAAATGTATTCTGGACTCCCTCCAGTTCATTTCTATAAATGTTCAAAATGTTTCCCAGTCACTCCCTGGCAATAATGAAATTTGTTTATAAAGTAATTTCTTAGAAATTGAAATGTTTCTGGGGTACCTAATTTCGATGCAAACATCTATTTTCCTGTCTAACGAACTGCGGTACTACCCTTCAAATGTTACGTTTCTCCTCAAAAAATCTAGAAATTATATCAGGTGATCTTGTAGGCTCTTCTAAGTGACCACGTCTGCCTGACTACCGGTTTGAACAATTGACAAACCCAATGGAGCAGTATTTATTACGACAGGCTGATTCGAAAGTGCCTAGATGCAAATTAACCGAACCTGTAGATGGAGAAACATGGTATCTTAGAATTACTTACTAGATTGCCTGATATGATGGTGTTCGCGAATAGACATTCGTAAATTACACGACCGCAATACATTCCAGAGCTCATGGTTGAAATAAGGGGTGGTCCTAACGAAAGGTGGTCCTAACGAAACTACCCCATAAACATTCTATAATGTATAAAAATAATGTGTGAGCATACCATACATTTAATAGAATTAACTGGAGTCAGTTTTGAATACGTTTTTCTTGAAATTATAATGTTTATCGTTTGTTTGCAGATCCTCGAAACGAATATTGAAGTGCCAATTACTCAGAGGTGGCTAATCCAATATCTGAAAATTAAAAGGTGTTGGATAGAGAATTGGTATACGTACTTACCTATCAAACACACAAGACCAACTTAAAATTTGAAACAATAGTTGTTTTCTGATGCATATCAGAAAGTAATAAAAGTGATACATTTTCACATCAATTTCCTTCGACCTTGATATCTTGTACCTTTCAAAAGTTCAGGGGAGACTATTTACTTACACTGTATGATAATATATACTCAGATAAAAAATAGTTCAATGAGTTGATAAGAATAACCTTGGCAGTAACAGATCTAAGGAATGTTTTCAGAGGAAGCTGAAAAGCAGTCATATCGATGAATCTTACATTTGAAACGCATCCATACGGTTGTTGTACGTTCTATTCAATTCACTTAAAATGGTGGCAAGGAATCATTATTATTACATTTATCGATGACTTGATTGGTCAGCCAGTTGCCTTGACTGAATCAGGAATTTCACAGAATTTTCATTGGCATCAAAAACTGAAATCTAATGCAATTGCTTTCTGTGCTGTGTTACAAATCTTTTCTGTGCTGAACGATACAAGGAGAAATTCGAGAGATGTTGAAATTCGGAAGGCGCAAATCATTATTTTCCAATTACAAGAGAATTATGAAAAAAAAGGAATTATTGAGGTAATCAAATGATGCCGAAAATTCTACGTAGGTGAGTATTCAACGAGAAAAAAAAAACAAGATGAAAAGGGGCGGTGAAAATCGAGATTGGGCATTAGAATTTAGATGAAGAAAATTGTAGCAAGGTACTAGATAGAAAGAACAACACTTTCCAGAAAGCAGTTATTGAACAATTTGAATATATCTTTACACTCAGCACAACGGTTCCTCTCGCAAATCTTAAAACAATAAAAATTGTATGCAGCAATTGGCAACAGAAATAAATTATAACACTTCTCTCCGAGCCTTTGTCTATTGCTTAGAAGAAAAGATATATTCTATAAAGGACAAAAATGCAGCATCTCTTTCAGCGTTTATTCAAGATACTCTGGAAACGTATATACTTATTGTTTTATATTCTTGATACAGTAATACAGTAATACAGTAATACAGTACAGTATTTGTAGTCATCCCTCAGAGTTCTTGGAGGAATAGAATAACCAGTGGATTAACCTACATACTTGTGTATATTGCAATTATGACATGTTTCAGTCAGGTATACAATAGAAATATAAATTAATTTCTTACAAGGACATACAAAAATGTATTACAAAAGATATATGCCGAAACATGTTTGTGAGAGATTACTATGTTTAAAGAAAATCAGGCTATCCTTTACTGCTTGAAGACAAATTTCAAATAAGTAACGAATCATTCGACGAAACAATCGCTCATTTCAAAACATAAGCGAAGTTGTCTAGTAAATATTAAAATAGTGAAGACCTTTCTTTATAGGAAAACAAAAAAATATGAAAGAATATGAATGTTGAGATTTTTATACCATATGTTTGAAGCTGAGGGAGAACGAAGGCAAAATTTCAATAGAATAATTTCATGAATTACACGTAGCATCTTCAGTGATATAATACAAGTGAGTATGAAGAATGTATTTCAAAAAATATAGAAAATAAATAATTAGATCGATTTGCTTTCAGATTGAAACAGAAATTGGAACGTTCACACCTGAAAGACTTCGTTGCTTTCCATTCCCTGGATACGAGTTCAAACCTTACAGAAACCTTTTGAAACCTATTAATGTCGTGGGAGTATACGTTTTCTATAAGGTACCGAATAGAAGCCAAATCAACGGTCCACACTCGTCGATAGCGACCGAAAAAAATCCGAAAACGAACCGAACCGAATGGAACCGCATATAACCGCATATGTGTGAAATGTGAAATAGTTCCTACTGTTAACGACAGTTTCTACTCTTCTTGGCTATGGAATATAAACACGCTGCAGCAATTCTCATTCAGGCTATACTTGACCTATGAGTTGACCTCAGGTTTGATGTCTGGAATTAATTCAATTCCATCGTGTATCCACTTGAGAGCAATCACTATCGTTGCTACAGTTGGGGGAAATTAGATGATTGCTAGGATACTGAATACTGTCACATGGCCATTTATCTATGCTGTAACGGCAAGGAGGAATGCGAATGAGCCCGCTTATTCAATAACTATGTCAAAATGTCAAACCGATGAGACCGTCTTAAGCGTCTTTAGGAATGCGGTTCATTCGGAACAAAGGAATTGCGATTGTAATGCTCATATATCCTTTATGTTCTCTGCTACGAATGGCATATCTAGAACCTTAGTCTAACATCAGTTGAATTGATTGTTTTAACGACCTATTTCAAGCTAGTGTTGTGGTGACGAATAAAATGATTTAAAGAAATATACGCGAAACAGTTAGATATTCCCTGTTAAAGTGTAGATGTATTTATTGACAAGTGTGAAATTCCAAGTATCCAAACAATTTCCAGAAAATCAAAGAATAGCCTCTACCTTAACGTACCATAAGGTTTGGTTTTTGAACCGAACATATTTCTGCTTAACATAAACGACATCCGCAAGACTATCAACCTGTAATATATTAGTGATAAGTAATTCCATCTTGAAAACGCAACAAACAGCACTGAGTAACAAATGTTTCAAAAGTTTCTGCTTCCGAGTTCTGCTTCCGAGAATAAAATATTAAATTCATATTGAATTCAATAACATAAAATGATTATGAAATGGGAAAATAATAGGTAGGCTGAAGAGTTCTAGGCTAACACACAGATGGTGCTTGTAGCATTGAATCCACATGATTTTTAGTTAACCATAACCTTCAGATACGTGTATAAATTTCACAGCTTTCACATCAACTTTTGGTTGTTTGAAAAAAAAATGGATATAAATGAATTTTGTGTGTTGGTAAGGTATTGTTTTTTGACGAAAAAACATATTATTGAAGCCAGGCGTAGCTTGGACTTCAGTTTTGTTACGCCAGCTTCGCAAAGTACGGAAATCGCATTTACAAAATGCCAAAATTAGGTACTTTTTAGGTACCGAAGTCAAAAATTAGGTGCTCTGTAACTCACACCGCAACTCAAGGGTCAAAGTTGCGTTGCTAGCATTATGTAATGCTAGCAACGCAATCAAAATGATAATGAAATGATGAATGTTAAGGAAACACTATTAGGTGTTTATTAAGTGCTAAACGGTGAGGATCGTAAAATTTTCTAATTAATAAACAAAAGCTTCCAATTTCGCTAAACAACAGATCTAAGAATCAGGTCTCTCGAAAACGAAGACGAATGCTCAATCAGGTGTAAACTAAGCGTGGTAATTAAGTGCTAATTAGGTGCTTGCAAGAAATTAAGATGATAACGACCGTTATTAGACGGAAAAAAAATTCTGGATACCTGATTTGAGAGAAAAATTTTGCAATATGCAATAAAGTCTTGAAATGTTCGTAAACTTATACATAGATATACAGAATAAAGTGCTAATTAAGTGCTCACTAGGTATTCATAGTAAATCTAGATTCTATAATGCCTATGGTGCTCATGGACCTGAAAACCACCATGACTGATGTACTGAGTGTTTATAGTATGTTCCTCAATAAATAAGGGCAAGAGATTAAAGTGCTAATTAGGTGCTCACTAGATATTTATAGTAAACCTAGACTACATAATGCTTATGGATCCGATAGCCACCGTGACTGATGTACTGAGTTCTTATAGTATGTTCTTCAATAAATAAGGGCACGAGAATAAAGTGCTAATTAGGTGCTCATTAGATATTTATGAAACAGCTGAGTTCCATAATACATATTGACTTTCACGCTCAAAATGTCCGTGGTTGAT